TTCAATTTGGGCTAAACATAATAGAAATGCAACTGATAGCCTTTGTGGTTTCAAATTGGACTAATGGGCTTCTATGATCGACCCAAAAATAATCACTAATTTAATCCACCTAGCCGGCCAACAGGCCGGCCCCTCTGCTAGTGCAACTCACAGAATCATTCCTCGCGGGTAAGGTTCTCCACTCTTCTCAAATAGATGTCTGTTGGTTCTCTAGACTGGTCTGCCCCAAGCCCCCAACCACAATCATAAATTGTGCTTTTGTATTTATTTCATTCCACAAAAGGACATTCTTCAATCCTCTAGATGTCCTGCCCACCAGTAGGGATGGCAATTTCGACCTGACCCGTTTTACCCGACCTGTTTGACCTGTTTTGGGCGGGTCCGACCCGCCCCGTAGGCGGGGCGGGGCGGGCATGGGTAGTCTCATCGACCCGACCTGCCCTGACCCGCCCCATTCTCGACCCGTTCTTGTCTAAATTACATGTAATCTTAGTCAAATTACTTTGAATTTTCCTTTTATTGCATCATATTTTAGCTATAATAAAGTTGTAAATTCGTGAAAACCTCAATTTCTCCAATAATTTAACAACAATTGTCATAATATTGTTTGTTTTCTTAGTCTTATAATAAAAATAACGAATATTTCTAATGTTTTTCATATAAATTGCATACCCATTGGGTCGACCTGCCCCGACCCGCGACCCGTGATCAATTACCCGCCCTAGACCCGCCCTGCCACGGGGCGGGTCTGGGTACCAAGAAACCCGCCCCAGACCTGCCCCATTGCCATTCCTACCCACCAGGTTCCCTCTTTTATGCAGTATATTTTTGATTAATTTCCTTAAAAAACACTCTACCTTCAAGATAGAACTGTAATTTCTAGACCGGATTCTAGTTAACTGGTATGTACCTTTTCCAGATGTGTTATGTGGTAGTCTTTTGCCACTGGAAGTATGCACTCATCACTGAGTATCACCCATTCCTTTCCAATCCCCAAACTAGCTTGTCAACTTGTGTTTGTTGGGGAATTGGAATTCTCATGATTCTAACTCTATCCATCGGGTTAAAATGTGTTTGAAGTAAGTCATGTGTTGACTCAAAACGGCGTAGTATTTCTCTAAACGGAGCACCTTCTACGATGACGTTTCGCTGCTACCATCCTGCTTGTGCATCTCTGCTACTCAACGACACCGTTTCAATATATCATCCTTCGAAGTCAAGAATATAATGGACTCCTCGATTGATGATCTCTCTGATCATCTCTCTCGATCGTCTTCTTTCTAACGGAAGCTTCAGCTTTTCAACGCCTGCTCCACCTAGCAATGTCTCTATGAGGAAGTATGATGAAGGCTATGGAAGGCTCCCCTTTAGGCAACAGTCATCTATTGCTAACAGTATAAATTGTAAGCCTTCTGCTTATTTGAATCTTGTACTTTGACAGTGAGTTGCGAGAGCTTCTGGGTTTGAATCTCTTCTGCTTTGGGTCAAAGGGTGTAATTGCTTCAGTAGATAGGATCACAGTGTATGGGAGTGTATTGGGTGATTCCAATCTTGGGAAGTGACTAGTGAGTGTGTTGGGTGTTTGTTTGCCAAAAGAGCCAAGTCACTTGACTTGGCTAGGTTTCTCTGTATTGTTCGATCTTCAATTCGCAATATCAATACAAGTGTCTTTCTTTTAGTTACAAGAGATTGTCTTAGAAAAGCAATAATTCAAGTCTCTTATTAAGTGCATCTCATATCTTGAGTTTACATCATGTCTCCACAATCTTGAATCATGATTAATCAACTCTGAAACCCTTATAGGTGGATTGTCTATAATTAAAATTTCCTTCAGTCATGAATTCTCTTCATCCATTAATCTTCCCAAACTTGTATACTAGATACGTTGCCCACTTTCCATTTTGTACATGATATTACTGCCATGATACTTTTCCAAGCATAAGTCGGGTTATAGCCTTCCCATGCTGCCATGATTCTTAGAAGTTGTTTGCTTGTAGGATTTTGATGAGGGATTTTGCATCAAAATCCCATATGTGTTGGATTATGGTCCAAATCCATGTTTGTTGATAAAAATGAAGTTTGCCTAAATTCGTGGAGCCGACAAATGTAGGATTTTCTTTTGCTCAAAATTCGTGGACCCCACGGATTATAAAATCCCATCTCATGAGGTAAGATTTTGAGAAGTGTCAAAATCCGTGGACCCCACTAACTATGAATGACCAGAGTATCCTTAACAAAAAAAAAAAATTATGATGATAGGAAGAAGGATAATATCATAATAAGGTAAATTCATCATTTAACCCATAAATCCAAGATAGTAAAGTCCATTTTGAAATCCAACAAGCAAACATACAATTTTTAAAATCCAACATAATCTTTCAATCCTAAAATCCAAGATTTTACCAAAATCCTTCAATTTTTAAAATCTCACAAGCAAACGACCTCTTAATCAAGTTACAAACTTGCTTACCAAACAAAGCCAGATTGAAACCTTCCATTTCCGTAAATCCCATTCCTCACCTTTTTTTTTTGGGTCGACAAAGCTCCTTCCAGTGGATTCTTTTCTCTTGTCTACACATAATATAATACACCAAAGGGAAAAACGAGAGCCCCATTTCAAATTTCCTGCAACGAGAGTGAAAGTAGGAAGGACATTTTGGTCTTCACAATTACTTCTTTTTATTCATTAAAAAGACACGTACCGGGATTCGAACCATGACTATTTTAAAGAAAAGCAAGGATCATAACCAATCACACTAAGTACATTTGTTATATCTTTTTAAATTAAAAACATATAATAGCAGGGAGGAAAAAACCCTTCACCCATTTCAAATTCCCTGCTCCAGGAGCGTTTGTAGGAAGGGTAGAATATGGAGTGTCAATTTTTTTCTCTTTCCTCTGTGGAACGGGCCAACTTACCGTACACATGCGGATTTAAACGGGTCCAGGAGTGTCAATTTTTTTCTTTAAGCTCTTTTATTTCTCCCTGGTGATAAAATATATATGAAAAGAAAAAAAACAATACTCATTTTTATTGCTAAAAATAAAAAAATTTAACAATAAACTAATGCATGGTATCTAATGGGCTAACCGCTAAACATAAAATAAAAGAGTTGAATGGGTCTAACCTACACGGGATTTGGCCATCAAGTAAAACAAATGAACATCATTGGTTTGCCGTTCTAAAACAAGCTATTTTCTCTGGCATAATATATATTATGCTATTATTTTATATCTTAGTGGCTAAAATATAATGTATTTTAAAGTTATTCAATGGTTCAACCTCGACCAACCCAATTAGTCAAATTTTTATCATTTCAAATAGAAATGGCAATGGGGCAGGTCCGGGGCGGGTATCTCGATACCCATACCCGCCACATGGCAGGTCGGGTCCAGGTCGGGTAATTTATCACGGGGCGCGGGTAGGGGCAGGTCGACCCGTTGGGTATGTAATTATGCGAAAAACATTAGAAACATTCGTTATTTTCATTAAAAGACCAAGAAAGAAACCATAATATGATAAAATGTAGTTAAATTATTGAAGAAATTGAGGTTTTCACTTATTTACAACTTTATTATAGCTAAAATATAATGTAATAAGAGGAAAATCCTAAGTAATTTTACTAAGATTAGATGTAATATAGGCAAAAACGGGTCGAGAATGGGGCGGGTCAGGGCGATGAGAGGTACCCATGCCCGCCCCGCCCTGCCTACGGGGCGGGTTTCACCTGCTCCAAAACATGTCAAACAGGCCGGGTAAATCGGGTCAGGTCGAAATTGTCATCCCTAATTTCAAATATATATTATATAATTATTTGATATCACAATGATAAAATTATAGTGTATTTTATAGGGAATCGTTTGGTATTTGTTTGGTAAAAAACTAAACAGAACGATCTATTTGATTATTTTAAACATTAAAACGATCCTAAACATTTTCAGTTCCTTTTGAATTTTTATGGTTTTATTCTCGAATAAGTGATGTGCAAATGGCGAATTGCAGTCATCTCTTTTCTTTCGCTATTTTTTATTTTCAAATAGAAAGTTTAAAAGTAAATAATAATTAGAATTTGGCATGGGTCGGTCAAACATGCTGAATTTCAAGTTTTAGCCCGTCTTGATCAAGTCTAATTTATAATCACATGGTTCCCTGATACCCGATAAAAATCTCAATCCAAACCAGTTTGGCATGTGAGTCTGTGTTTACCACCATTTTCTAGGATACAACAACGGCGGTTCCTATCCCAAATTATGTTATTCGTTCTTGATTTCCTTAGATTTTATCATGGCCTAACAAAAACCAGAAAGCACAATGACGACAAGATGCAAATTTTATAAAGCAAATTAATCGACCAACGGGCCGAGTAAAAGCTAGCAACGATTGTGAGATGCTCATTTCCCGAAAACCGACGGGATAGGCGATTTTTTATTCTATTTTATGGAATTCGGTTTCTATAAAACTTACTCCACCTCATCATATTACCAGAAACAATATTGTTTCACAAGGTAACATGTACTTGATTTTGGTTCATAAGGCCGATTTTTGATTCATTGCATCATTCATGTCTCTTTCCTGCTAAAATTCACTATTTTTATCACGAATTTCCAAAAAAAAAAAAAACTATACAACAATAAGCTATACACCACATTATATTATCAAATTTCATACTTCACCTTCCTCCGGCCAACTGGCCGGGGCCCACACTAGTTGTTTCTATTCCCTCAAAAAATTAGATAAAGCACTCTGAATTTTCACGTAAACTTGTTTAACTACAGATGAATTGGATAGAATCGGTGACACATGTTACTCTAATTTTGAATTGGTTTGTTCACGTCAATGCATCATTAATGGCCCACAGTGGACCGGCCAACTTAACTCCCAAGCCCAACCCAGTTCTCTTCGTTCGTTTCGAGCCCAGTCCAGGCAGCCGCCGAGGCCTTAAACAAAGGTAGGGGGAAATCCGGAAAAATCGGCGTAAAAATATCTCCAAGACGGGCTTATAGACCATATAATCTCCCTTCAGAGGGAGCGGCAAAATCTCCTTTTCATTTTCCAGCTGCTGTAGCTTATCCGCTCGCAGCCATCGTCTCCCTCTCCGACTCCCTAACCTAAAACACTATCCCATTCGCCTCTTGCCCTTTCCACGATTAGGCGAAGCATTTGAAGTTGTTAGGGGAGAAATGGCTGCTTCTTCCGGTATTGGCGTTACTTCTTCTATGTTCCATACACCATCTATCGAGCTCGCTACCAGAAGGGCAACAACTCCCACTATCACATCCTCTTGCCTCTTCCCCCTTACAATTCCGGATAAGCCTTGCTTCCTCAGTTCTTCTATATCCAGCGGCCGTGGAAGTGGAGTTGGGAGACTTACACTTCTTATGGTGGAGGGAGGTTCCCGCAGGCAGACTACGGTTCCTTCCGCCATTGCTTCTCCCAATAATTCCCTTCTCAGTGAGCAGGCCTTCAAGGGCCTTGGTGGCATCTCCGACTTCGATGGTGTCGATAGTGATGAAGACGACTTGGCGGATGACGCAGTCCTTGCTGCTGATGATACTGACGAGCTTGCGCTTACCAAGCTGGGTTTGCCTGCGCTCTGGTTGACGCTCTGGAGAAGCGTGGAATTACTCACCTTTTCCCTGTTCAGGTATGTGGTTAATTGTTTAGTGAAATGTGTTTCAAACCTTTTATTGTTACTTGGAAGGAGGAAGTCACTAAATTATGTCCAACTAACCCATGGGAAATTACTGGTGTGTATCATCTGTACGCGGCGGTTGAAGCTTCTTTTTTTATCTAACGCTACACTAATTCATTTGTTGGGTTTTTGTTTTTGGTTGAATACTTCAATTCCCATTTGAAAGGCGAGCTTATGATGTTGTTTTCTATGTAATGGTGCAGAGAGCTGTTCTGGTTCCGGCTCTAGAAGGTCGAGATATCATTGCTCGTGCTAAGACTGGGACTGGGAAGACTTTGGCATTCGGCATTCCAATAATTAAGCTCCTCACTGAAGACACTGAACTAAGAGGCCAACAACGGTGAGTGTTGTGTTTCTCTTCTTTTCTTAAATAGGCGACGTTGGCCCCAAAGTTGTCAGCTACGTTGAGTCACATGTTTATATGCTTATGTTCTGTACCTTGTATGGTGTTTCCCCAGGCGAACTGGCCGGCTTCCACGAGTTTTGGTCTTAGCACCTACACGAGAGTTAGCAAAGCAAGTAGAGAAAGAAATTAAGAGTCTGCACCTTACCTTAGCACTGTGTGTGTTTATGGAGGCGTTTCATATGTGACGCAACAAAGTGCTCTTACCCGTGGAGTAGATGTTGTGGTTGGGACTCCAGGTCGAATCATTGATCTCATTAAAGGAAACAGCCTGAAACTGGGGGAGGTTCAGTACTTGGTTCTTGATGAAGCTGATCAAATGCTTTCATTTGGATTTGAGGAGGATGTGGAGTTGATCTTGGAAAACCTTCCAACAAAACGGCAGAGCATGCTTTTCTCCGCAACAATGCCAATTTGGGTCAAGAAATTGGCCAGGAAATATCTGGACGATTCCATTGCAATTGATCTGGTAATCCTTTTGTTATCTTTTAAAGTTTGTCTAGTCCTATGTTTATAAGTCGCTCATTTGACTGTCTGAAGGAAGTGCCCTTTGTAACAGTTGGATTGAAAATTGGGGTACTTGGTTGAGAACATATCAGATTGACCAACATAATTGACTAAGTGCTCAGTCTTTTTGGTCCATTTCTTGGTGGACGCTGTGGAGCCATTTTTTAAATAGAATTTTGTGTTTGGAATGCACAATAGGCTCATCGGTAATAGTTTTGTTTGGTGAGCATGGATAATATTAATGTCCTAACTAATTTCATATTATTTCCTTTATGAAGGTTGGTGATCAGGAAGAAAAGCTTGCTGAAGGAATCAAGCTTTATGCCATATCTACCACCTCCACTTCAAAACGCAGCATGCTCAGTGATCTTGTAACTGTATGAATTATTGCTTCCTAACTCCATGCCTCTCATCTAGTTACTGATCAAATTTGAAATTTTAGATTGCATCATGCTCTTACTGTTGGATGTTAATTGTTTTCCACTTGTTATTAGGAGTAGTCATTGTTCTCCATATATATGTTTGCAGTTACTAAATTTGATCCCAATGTTCAGGTTTATGCAAAAGGAGGGAAAACTATAGTCTTCACTCAAACTAAGAGAGACGCCGATGAAGTCTCCATTTCATTGTCGAATAGCATAGCTTCGGAGGCTCTGCACGGAGATATATCCCAGCATCAAAGGGAGAGAACATTGAATGGTTTCCGTCAAGGCAAATTCACCGTGCTTGTAGCAACAGATGTTGCTTCTCGTGGGCTTGACATTCCGAACGTCGATCTGGTATGGAAGTTTTTTGCTCTGTTAGATGAACTTTCTATCCTTTTAACAATAATAAATATTATTTTTTATTTCTGGGCCTAGTATAAGTGCCAGTAGCTTATGGACATTTGCAGCATCATGGTTGAGTTGGAACTTGGAAGTATGGACCTAAAGGCTAGTAGTAGCCACTGCGATGTGCATATATCGTTCATTGTCTACGCATGTTTAATTGATCAGATGCAACTTGCTGGTATTTCTTACTGCCCTGCTAGTCAGAAGATAACGCTGATGGAAATGTACTGCATTTCTCTAGGTTATTCACTATGAGCTTCCAAATGATTCGGAGACCTTTGTGCATCGTTCTGGTCGTACTGGGCGTGCAGGGAAGCTGGGAACTACCATTTTGTTGTTCTCCAACAGTCAAAGGAGATCCGTTAGATCTATCGAGCGTGATGTTGGATGCAGGTTTGAGTTTGTTGGCTCACCAGGCATTCAAGAGGTTCTAGAATCATCAGCAGAGCATGTGGTTGCTACTCTACGTGGAGTTCATCCTGAATCTGCAGAATGTTTTATGCAAACTGCCGAAAAATTGTTAGAAGAACAAGGAACAAAGGCCCTTGCTTCGGCTCTGGCACATTTGAGTGGTTTCACGCAGCCTCCGTCGTCTAGATCTCTTATTAGCCACGAGAAGGTGAACAAATAGCTTTATATTTCCGCACCAATTACAAGATTCCATGCTAGGGTTGGTTCTGGGAACAATGATCTTCTGCAATTTGTTCTTGTTTGGTTTCTGTGGGAATGGTTTTGCAATTGCAAAATATTCTCTGCTCTCTCTTTTCTGCTTTTCCAGAGACTAGTATGAGTTTTCTTATTGATGTGATTTTGAGGAACGTGAATATTTTGCTCTAGCAAGTGTGTAGGCATCCTCAGGCACACCTATGTCGTCCCACACTCGTACATACTTGATTGTGGGAGCAATTTGAATGATCACTTGATGACTGTAGTCTGTATGCAATGTATAGAAACAGTGTTGTTCCCCTCAGAGATGAGCCTTATTTGAATGAAACTTGTGAGAGGCTAGTGGAGAAAAGTGTCGGAGGCACCTGGTTATGTTGCTAAGTCATAGGTGTTCACTTAGGTTCCATGCTTAAGTATTCGTCATCTGGTTATGTTATGTACTGTTATATGTTTTGGTTTTGGAATTTATGGTACTAAGCTATAGTACCTTGAATGAGATGTTCTGTTTGCTTTATGGTACTAAGCTGTGGTTATTGGATTGTGAAACCTTTCTCGCAGGGCTCTGTGACATTGCAATTGACTAGGGATCCGAATTATGCTAGAGGGTTCCTTTCACCTAGGTCGGTGACTGGTTTCCTCTCAGATGTATATCCTACAGCAGCAGATGAAGTTGGGAAAATATATGTAATTGCTGATGAAAAGGTGCGTTATTTTAGCCATTGCGAAGTCCTTTCATGCAGCGTTCACTTTAGTTGGCTTAAAACAAGTAATTGTGTTCTATGTTAAGGTTCAAGGAGCAGTGTTTGACCTGCCTGAGGAGATAGCAAAAGAGTTGCTGAAAATGCAATTGCCTCCTGGAAACGTTATTTCCAAGATCACCAAGGTAGTTATGATTCTGGTCACAGTTTTGGCAATTATCTGGTTGTAATTTGTTTTGGTGGCACTCTAGTGGCAATGGTCTTGATGTGTGCTGATTCCTAGGATACTTTGTATTCTTTGGCCAATTTGTTTTGCAGTTGCCTGCATTGCAAGATGATGGACCCGTTGGAGATAATTATGGTCGGTTTTCTAGCAGGGATCGCTCCACTAGGGGGGGTTCGAGAGGCCAGAGGAGCTTTAGACCCCCGCAGCGTGGTGGTGGTCGAGATTTCGATGATGATGATTTTGGTAGGCGTGGCGGTCGAAGCCAATCGAGGAGCAGTGGCAGCAGTTGGGGGATGGGTGGAAGGAGGTCGAGCTCGGAATCATCAAATAGAGACAGGTACGTCTACACATGAGAGCAGAGATTATTACCTTCGACGTTTTTCTCAGTAGAGTATGCATTGTTGATACCACCAATTGCTTTAGCCTTTGCGATATATGCTTTTCTCATTTACTTGTTAATCGAGGAGCAGTGGCAGCAGTTGGGGGATGGGTGGAAGGAGGTCGAGCTCGGAATCATCAAATAGAGACAGGTACGTCTACACATGATAGGATAGACTATTACCTTCTACATTTTCGGCAGAAGAGTATGCATAGTTGATATCACCAATTGCATTAGCCTTTGCGATATATGCTTTTCTCCTGTACTTGTTAATTGTGAATCACTAGGGAGGAACTGAATGGTTGTTCTTTTCCCATGGCTGTGAGGGTACTTTGTTGGTGAAGTATAGGAGTTGAGATAGTTTAGTAACATTGTGTTTTCGACAAATATTAATAGACTTCTTCATTGAGGTTTGTGGGTAATCTTGCCGGTTTTGTTTCGTGCATAATTTGATCAATTATGTATGTTCACAATACTGTAAAATGTCTTGTATTCCAGATCATTCGGAGGTTCATGTTTCAGCTGTGGGCAATCTGGACATAGAGCTTCGGAGTGTCCCAGCAGGGGAGGGTATTAGAAGTATATACGACCAGGTCTTTGACCATGCGAACAACAACAAAGTGGCAGCTGCTGGGAATCTTGGTTGTCTCGGCCGTATATGGAATATTTATGCCAAGATGGGTTCGCTACAGGAAAGAATACTGGATACCTGCGATCGAATAGGCTTGTAGCTTGTGTTTTCTAGAATCTAGATAGATTGGTTGGCTCTAAAAGATGGGGGGAAATGAGAGTTCAATAGAATGTATTCCTATTTTCGTTTCAGCGTATCCGGTATGTAAACTGTACTATTTATTGACTAGCAGTATGAAACAGGCAATGTGCAGCGATCAGCCCCCAAAATTGCATGTTATTGCTGCATTATTTTCTCTGGTCCATAATTTGCCCTGGATATCAGTGCTATCATTTTCCACCGAGCATTCTGTTGATTCAATAACCAAAACAAGGCAGGGTTTCCTCCGTCTCGGTGCAGGCTGGTTTATCCCTAAGATCGGGGACAGTTTTGGACTCTTGGTCTTCGATTTCGTAACAGTTTGATTCTAGGCTGCTCAAATTGTCTTGGTATAAATTGCTCATACAATAGGATGGATTAGATTATGTTCCTAAGAAGATGTGGTTGACCATTGGTGAAGCTAAGCTGCAAGGCATTTGCGATATGCATTGGTGGAAGCTTCATGTGTGGCTTGGTGCTCTTGCATTATTAGGTCGATTGTGGCGGTTATGGCCGCGGCATATTAGAAGCTTTAAACAAACACTAAAAAGGGGTTGGTTTTGATAGTTGAAGCTAGTTGATTCACTTAGACATTCTAACTTCACTGACTACTTCAAAAACAGGGAGAGAGCAGGGATCTGGACAGGTGAGAAAATATACTGCCTCAGAATCAGCAAGCAAATGATTTTGCAGAAAAAAGTGTTAATCCGGTTGACTCCATCCCATCCCATGTTTACACTATACCAATCAATCAACCAAACGGAGACTGAGACATCTTCGAAGTACAACAGCATTAATCCTAATCTGTCAAGGCCACGACGTCGTATAAGCAACACTATGTCAAAAAACATCGTCGACACCATAACAAGAGAAAACGTACGTACAAAGGTGCTGGAAAGGGTGCACACGCTCTAGGCTCATGAAAATGGAATAATGTCCGTTTGATTGACATCACATCACCTTCTAATTCGAGCTCCAGAAAGCACACCTCATAGCATTCACTGCTGCCTGCCTCTCCTGCCAGTTTTGATTGCACCCCCAACTTCTTGGCTCAGTCTCTGAATAAAGATGCTCCAAAGTTTCTACCAACACTACCTTACTAAAGCTAAGTTTTTCGAGATGGAGTCGGATGCTCACTACGGCAGACATGCGAAGAATCTGGATCTAACATTTCAAAACCCTCAACTCATAACAGTTGAAATATTCTCGTCTAGATATCTTACAGCAGCTTGTAGTCTTCCCACTAGATATACTTCAATCCTGAGATGTATTGCTGTCTTGAGACTACAGACTGTGCTATTGTATAAATACATCCCCAGAACCCCCAATATCTTGATCTTCATCACATCTGCTATTATTATGGAAGGCAGGTTGAGAGGAAGGGTGATTAGAGGCGTGGTGTCAGCCTGTTTCGTGAAACTCCCACACAAAACGGTTAAAGAGGATATGGCTAGGGAATGTGAGTATGAGAAGTGCCAAGTTTTTTCACGGCAAAGAACCAATCAGGACCACCGATTTCGATGCTCCATCCACCATTCCCATGCCATACATCCTCCCAGATGCTGTATAGTGTAGTCAACACCAAATAGCCAGATATGGCGACCGTAACAGGGAAGTACCTTTGTTTGTCTCCAAATCCAGCAACAAAATCCGAGTCCTGATTGAGAAGCAGCAAAATGGGAGCCAAGAAGAATATAGCTTGGTTCGATCCCCCTGTCAGATTGACAGTTCAAGATCAGGCATATCGCAAAGCACATTACAGTAGCCACATTGCCTACTGCTGGCATCCATGCACCCCTCAGCGGCCATCCTTTTGATGGTGAAGGCTGGCACAGTGGACACTCGGCGCTGCTGCATGAACCTCATTCTGGGGGCAAAACCAGAACTGCTTTGGCTAGATTGACTATGTCGAATTCCGCCCCTTTCAACTGACTTCTCCCGCATAAGTGAGGCGAGTTCAAATTTTATCTCCAAAGCTATTAGCATGAGATTGCTGCATACAAGCCGAGCAAAGAAGTCCTGGCCCCTTCGACAGCCAGCAAAGTGGTGAGCCTCCTGTCTTCCTCTCCCAAATCTACACTATCTCCAGAATGGTGTTAATCCTTACCTGAACCCTCCAACAGGTAGTTACAGGGAGAGAGCTACAAGCGAAGCAAACACCCATGGTAGTAGCTTTGTGCTTGAAGCAGATGGGATGTGAGTGAAAACCACAAAGACAGAGGTGCAGACCATTGTGACAACAATAAGCACATGCAGAACTGCAGCTTGAAGAAAGTACTCGGCTGATATGTATACGCCTAGTGCAATGCCCATTGCTATCGAATAGAATGCTCTCAACTCTACAATGTACCCGATAGGTATGAAAGATGTCACGGATGCCAATGTAAGCAAGATTGCTAAGATAAGCAGCCATGAAGGCCAGGTGGGCTTTGATGCAATGAAACCATAGATAGTGACATCATCAGAAGATTGACGAGCTGCTTTTATCATATCCGATCGGTAAGTCCATGCCATCGGGATTGGTGGCTGCATTAAGATAAATAATACACCAGTTGCCACCACAAGCACTAGGCATCTCTTGGCAGACTGCAAAAGACGAAGAAAAAAAAAAAAAAGAGATCAGATTATTTAGTAACATGACCAACCAAGAACAACAATTTCTTAACAAGATATTGCAGTAAAAAACCACAGTCATCACCACCCGAGTTCACAGTAATGCCATACTATCATTCAGAACCTTCATTCACCTATACATCAGTTGCATACTTACGTCTTAATGTTCATGCCAAGGTTAGAGGCTGGCCCGCATGAAGCAAATTTATAATGGTCTTCTAAGTTCAGTATGTGACATCAGTTTATTGCTAGGATAACCAGTAATTTAATCACATCAGGCATACATGTCAAAATCATCTACTTATACATAACTTGCATCCCTACTTTATAAGGTCCATGCCATTGCCAAAGTTACTCTGGCCAGCATAGAGCAAATTTATAAAGGACTTGAAAATTAAGATTATTCGCCATAAGCCATCAGTTTATTGCTAGACAAATCAGTAATTTCGTCATATCGTGCATACATGGTCAAAATCATTGAGCCGGTAGAAACTAGGTGGATCTCTAGGTTCTGCTGTGAGTGTTATTTCTTGCATTTAATCAAATGAATATCACACAGCTGAAAAATTGATTGCAGAAATCAGAAGAAAAACGAACCAGGACATGAGAGAAGTGAAGAGCAACAATTGGGAGACAAGCCAATCCTGTCAAAACAATGCAGAAGCCCAAAAGCAAACCATCTGATGGAGATTTCCCCTGCCACCATTGGAGGGCTTCAAAAATTGTTTCGCGGCAGAACCACACTGATAGAGCAACCACACTAGCATGGGCATAACCTTGCCATGGTTTCATCTTGGAGGACATCCGGGTCTTATCCCTGGAAAATGGTTCAGCAGCAATGTACTGTGAATGTGTGATAGAATAAAATGATGATCAAAGCTAGTCAACATGCATAAGAAAGGTAAGTGTTAGGAAGATGAAACGGAAATTACTTGTAAAGGAGCATGGGAGGAGTAACAGCAAGTAGAAGTATGGCTGAAACCCATACAACTGACTTTGATGATATGAACATCATGGCTAACTTTGAAGAATACAGGCAAGTCAAAATCCAAACTGCCTTTGGCCCAATTCGTTGGTCAACAGATAACCTCCTCACTAAAGCCAATCCCACAAGTGTTGTGATAATAACCATGTAGCTTGGATACATCACATCATCCTCCAGTCCATAGTAGTATATACCTGAGTAATTGAAAAATCTGTTCTCGATGTAGCACAGCAGCAATGCATGGCAGGTTAAACCCGCCTCAGCAAGAAAATGAAGTTTTTGAGGGAGAAGGGCTAACCCAGGAACAGCCATGGCAAGCACAACATTAGCGACAATCAGTTTACAAAAAGATTTTAAGGCCATGCCAGCCAACCATATGTTCAGGTCCCAGAAGTTATGCATCACAAACCATGCAACCATCAAGCTCCCAAGAAGAACAAAGGCGAAGTATGATGGCAGGCTCTTCTTTGTGAAAAACCGAGCTAGATAAAAGCCCGTAACTGATGGCAAAGGAAGGAACTGCAGAGTAAGAACATAACGAGATCAATAGTTGCAGACATTTATTTGAGACTATGCTTGCTTAAGACGACAGACAATCATACACCAACAAGCATAATAAATAAGCTATCTAAGACTAGCCTAGAATTTTTAGGAAAACTCGCATAAACACAATTGGTGGACTATAAGAGATGTTAAATGACATACCAGACACTGGCACCACCTAGTTCAGCAGTTGAAGTAAGTGGAGGAAGGGAAAAAGAGTACCAGTATGGGGAAACCCCACGACAATTGCTCCAGCAGCACTAACAATTACGGCCAGAGAAGTGAAAACCAAGGATCTGAAAGCATCGGAAACCATGCCCAACGCATAGGCACCAGCACCAGCTGCTCCTCCAAGCATCGTTGTGGTGACAAGAAGATAATTCAAAGGAGGCGGGACCTGAATGTAGCGGCCAAAGGAATGGAAAACAACTCTGACTTCCAATGCAATGATAACCAGGACCAGAGCGAGAGCGCCATTGGACAACGCGAATGCTGTGCAGCTGTTGCGGGCTCTTAGTAACCCACCGAAGTGCTCCCCTGGTGGAGGCGTAGAGTTGGAGCAGGAAGGGAATGAAGAAGAGCAGGATCAAATCGCAGACCGAAGCAGCCGATGAAAACATGACCGAGTAATGGGAGGCAACATGAAACATGAGAGGGAAGAACAGCAAGTATAGAGTAAGGAAGCAGCTCTCGAGAGGGCAGAGAATGAAGGTGTCATCGGGAACCTCGCCACCGTGATACTTGATCTCCTGCTTGGCCTTGAAGGACGAAACGCGCGGGATGGCGAAGAGCCAGTAGAAGACGCAGTTGAAGACCATGAGATAGTACGAGGCGTTGTTCATACCGACGGCGGAGATGGTGGCCCAAGCGAAGATGGAGGAAGCAGTGAAGGGAATGCAGGCAAACAAGAGCCGCTCGAGCGCGAGGACGATGCTAGGGTTCTCGAGCTGGATCCACTTGAACTGGAGAGAGGCCCAGACGCCGATGAGGAAATTGGCCTGCGCGCAGAGGAAGGAGGCGAGGAGCCCGAGGGGGACGGAGCTGAGGGCGGAGATGAGGGAGGAGGTGAAGAAGAAAGCGATCTGAGAGG